AATGATTCACCCTAACATTCACGTCTAGGCATGGTGATTGATTTATCGATCCGTCTTGACGTGATTCGCTTCCTTACCCGACCGACAGAGGTCAGTTATCGTCGGGTTCGTTCCTTCGCGTCTATGACGCATGCACAGTTGGCAACATAGTCAACAATGGGATACAGTGGAAGAATAAGCAGCTTTTCGCCTGAATGGCAGGATCATTAGCTAATAGAAATTACATTCTATCCACAATAGCAATGGCAACAACCTGTCACCTACAGCTTCTCCCCTTGTTACTCAGCTTTATCGCATAGTTTCTTGTTGTACCACCCGGAATTCCCTTCGCACCTTTTACATTCTAGTACTATTCTGTACGATTCTCAGACCCAGGTTAAAATGACCTTTGCCAATGGCCTGTCCAATTTCGTCAATGCTCTACTTACAACCGCGACAATCGTTCAAATAATCGCATAGGCAGGTCGGCTGGAGATCTAAAAGCTTACTCAAAACTCCGCGTACTGACTAGTTTAATTGCGACAACCGTTCAATTGCATGCATAGTCGCATGAGAAACCTTCAACTTGGGTTAACTGAGGTTGGATCCGCTTTCGTTCAGCGCATATTGTTGGTCAATTGATCGCATGTCATTTTCACCATCGACTGACCACCTGTCTTCCCTCGCTCTTTCCAGGTTAAAATGAGACAGACCTCAGTCTTACGTCTTGTCGAGATCGATGACAGACGTCGATTCAGTGTCGTGCGACGTGCGGAAAACAGGTAAGTTGAACCTGACTCGATAAGCAAGAAGGCTGGCGCACTGCTTCGTGTGCGCTACAACTAAAGCGTAGTTAGTCATAGTCGCTCGGACATTGACTATAGGTCAATCACCAAAGGTTACCACAGTAACCACGATGAGTTCAGTACTTACGGTCTACTCCGAGCGATGTCCTTTTCATGCTTTGGATCATGGGCCTATACGAAAAGCTACCTTTGTGGAGTGGCATGTGTTCGAGTCATTTAGGTGAACTTTGGTAACTGGACTATTTTTCCTCAATGGCCAAGCAGCCACAACCTTAACTGCAACCCACCCATTCGTGGCTCAACCCGTAAAAGTGAACGAAACAGAACGTAGCCGATTCCTTTGAGAAAAGATGCTCGTCGTCAAAACAGTTGCTAAAGCCTAAAGGTAGCATGTGGACCGTGACATAAGTTGACTTATATACTTAAAGGAGGGGAGGGAGGGAGGGAGGGATGAGAATCACTGGACCATGCATGCCTTCCTGCGGCGATGCTTGATGATTTAGAAGTCATCAATGTGCTTTCGTCGGAACAGTTAGAGGAGACGTCAAGGGGTCTTACATGAAACAAAAGGTTGTTTTTCCACGTTCGCTTCTTTTTATCATGCTCCGAGGCCGGTACAACTGTTCTGACAGCGGAGTGCGCAAGCGAGTCGTTCTGGCTTTCGAAGAGAGACGGGATTGGCGTGTTGTTGTGAGATAAAATGATGTGAATTGTAAGACCGTTGAGAGTGAATTTTGGGAGGCAAAGCTGCTAAGGATGCCCCATAGTCGCAAATGCCTAAGAATATTAAACATATGGAGCTTGATTGATAGCAAAGTCAATAGGGATTTGAGTAATAGTTATCCCAGTCTCCATCTGGAAGATCCTGAATGGATAACCAGTCAAACAGAATGGCAAATGGAGTTCTTGGAATGATCAGTTGCGAAGGAGACATCGTCGATCTCTGATGCTTATCGTGCTGAGCTCGCACGACAGTTGCAAACATTTTACATGCCTGTACTTAAAATATTAAAAGGGAACATCTCAGCTGGTCATAAGTGCTCCACGATACCCTTTTTAAATTCCCTCTATGACC